CCCTTCCCTTCCCTTCCCCTTTCCTTCTTTCATCCATCAATCTACCCATCCTTCTGTTTTTGTAGAGCTGAGGATCAAACCCAAGGCCTTCTGCCTTCTAGGCAAACACTCTACCACTGAACTACACCCAAGCCCTACATTTTGTGTTTTAATATATCTCTGTACAGTCACACATGCACATACACAGATAAACAAGTATTCATTCTGTCTCTCTCGTCATTGATGTTTCAAGTGTTCATTGTAGCACTTGCTAGGTACAAGGCACGGCAGAGGTACCCTCAAGGAGACAGTTAAGAGAAACAAGTGTAAAAGGTAGAACGAGAAGCTTGAGAAACAGATCAGTTTAAACAGAAACAGTTTACAAGAAGTTCAGAGAAGACAAAGATTATTTCTGGCCACTCTGCACAGAGTAAGCTTCCAGCTGCTCAGAACAGAGTGAATTTCCATTTGTTTATCTGTGTCCTTGCCGCCTTGGGATACGAAGTCTGTGATTCCAGGTGGCCTGGCTAGGTGTGTCTGTGCACACTCACAGGACAGACAACTTAAAATGCAAATAGGATGTGATCCATTTCTCTTGGCATCAGTAAAACCTAACTTAAAGCCAAGTGTCTTGTGAATGTGGAGTAGAAGGGGCTTTATAAATTGTCTAATTTGTACTTTATTAGCATAATTGCAAAGAAGAAATAAACCAAGAAGCGAGTCTCACCAAGATCTCGTAGATATCCCCCCTCCTGATGTCCAGCTGTGTGCCCTTCTTTCTGTGATGATTTTATATTTGACTGAAAACCAGTGATGCAGCGGCTTTCTCAGCTTTGCATTTCTTAGGATTCACCATGAAAATTACATCCTGAACTCTTTTTATTTAGGAAGACATCTGCTCTCATTTAAAAGATCAGGTGAAACAGCTGGAAAGGAACCAAGAAGCCACCAGAGTGGAGAAGACTGAGGTCATCAGCAGGCTGTCGAGGAGCCTAGAAGAGACGCAGAAGCAGTGCGCCCACCTGCTGCAGTCAGGTACAGCCACCTGCGCTCCGTGGGCAGCGTGTTCCGTGAGTTAGGAAACAAAGGCGCCAGGTTTCTTTTCTTTAAAAATATATCGTTATACATGTAATTAGTTCTTTAAGTAATTTGGAAAATGAAGACAAGTAAAGAGTACCAAATAAACATAACCAGCATCCTGCTACTCAAGGAAAAGTACCGTTAAAGTTCAGATGTGTTTCCTTCAAATAACATGGACGTACACATGTAGACGGTGCCCTGCTTCTGTGTACCATATGTTTCTGAAAAGATACTAAAGCCAGTTATGCAAAACACAGCAATATAATATATGTTAAAAATTAAGTTTTGTCGCCGAAAGCTGAGGACAATTCCAAAATCCCATTATATTTTGGTGTCTAGACCCAGTATTTGATCGCATGATTCAGTTCTTTGTAGAACCCCTGCAGTATGTTCCCCCTCATGGTAGAATCCCTATTTAGTCATTCAGGCAAGAATTACATTTTTGTCACGTGTCAGATTTCTAATGTGGTCCCCATGGTATTAAGTTTGCGACATGTTCCTTTGCTACCAGTAAGTTTTTTTTGTTGTTGTTTGTTTGTTTGTTTGTTTTGATACTGGGGACTGAACTTATTACCTTGTGCTTGTGAGGCAGGCAGCGGAATCACTGAGCTAAATCCCTGGCCCAGTAGGTATATTACTTCTTCTTATTTATTTAGTGGTACTAGGGATTGAACCTAGGCCCTTTGCACATTCCTAGCCCATTTTTAAAAATTTTATATTTTTAGACAAGCTTCTGCTAAGTTGCCCAAGATGGGTTCAAACTTGTGATCCTCCTGCCTCATCTTCTCAGGGTGCTGGGATTATGGGTATGCGCTGCTGTGCCCATCATATTTCTTTTTTTTTTTTTTTTTTTTTTTTGAGACAGGGTCTCACTATGTAGTTGAGACTGACCTGGAACTCACTATGTAGCCCAGGCTGGTGTCGAACTCACAGTGATCCTCCTGCCTAAGCCTCCTGAGTGCTAGGATTACAGGCATGCACCACCACGCCTGGCTCATATTTCTTATTATTTTTAATGAAATGATGTTAGCGTAAAACACAAGAAAATAAATGTATAAAAACTGCTCAGTGTATAGACTTGTACACCTTTTTTGGTGATGAGCTCATGCTGTAAAGATATAGGTCAGCTGTTATTCATTAGTATACATGAAAGCCACACTTGGGTACGTGGAAAAACAGTTCAGACTGTTGGTGCCATATGTCAAAGAATGGTCACCCCCTCAAGCTGAAAGTACTGCAGTCAAGTATGCACAGAGGGGGTGATTGGAAAATACAGTGAATATTTAAATTTAAAAATAGTTTTTATAGAAAAAGACACATTGCCACAAATCCTTCTCAGAATTCTTCCCTCTCCAAAAACATTTCTCCATGGTTCTTGCCACCTTTTGAAGCAGTTCTGAAAGTCCTCTTTTGTGAATATCTCTACGAGCCTTGATCAAAAATAGAGTGAGTATGCTGGGCGTGGTGGTGCATGCCTGTAATCCCAGCACTCAAGAGGCTGAGGCAGGAGGATCACTGTGAGCTCGAGACCAGCCTGAGCTACATAGTGAGTTCCAGGTCAATCTCAACCACATAGGGAGACCCTGTCTCAAAAAACCAAAAAAAAAAAAGATTGAGTGATGTTGCCAAGTGCCACACAGTGGAGAGTCAGCTCATAAAAACATGATGCTGTGTCCTCCTCCGCCTTATCTACCAATCTGGTACCCTGTGACTTCTGGCTCCTCTCCAGAGTCAGATGACCATAAATCATCTCAGGGCATCAAGGCAGCCAGGACAGCACATCTGGAGACACGACAGAGAGCTTCCAGAACCACTTCAGAAAGTGACAAGAGCTGTGGGATACATGTGTTCAAAGCAGGGAGGACAGTGTGTGTTTTACTGTAATAAACTTTTTAAGATTCACTGTAGTTTTCATTCAATCTCACCTCACGTGTATTTGGATGGGGACACAACTTGGACCAGACTCTACCTGACACCGGACCCTTGTTACTTAAGTATTCTTTCTCACTGGCGTTGCTTGGTGTACTTTTTTCTTGGCCATTAAAGGCCTTGAAAATAAGCCTATTTTTAGCTGCATAATATGTCACAATTAATTCACTTAACTATTTCGGAGATGGTCATTGTCTTTGGCAGAAATCCAGTGAAGTCCCTTTGAAATGGGAACCTCCCCTTGTACACCAAAATGTCCTTTTGCTAATGTTCTAGAAACTGCACTGACATATTTCTCTCCCATGCAGAGCACAGAGTGGTGGAAATAAAAGCACTTATAGAAAGACTTGAAAGACAGCAAGGTGTAGTTCTCTTCTTGGAGGGTAGAAATGTGTGGCTTTCTAAGAATTGGGATGCTACGCTCCTATTAAAGGTCCCTGGGAGTGCTCAGGTCTGTGAATGTGGCTCATTGGATCCCTAACAAGGTCACCCAGTAGCCCATGCTGTGCAGAGCCCTGGGGACGTCAGGACCAGGCTTGTGCCTTGGGCCCCGTTGTCCCGATACCTCCATGGTGTCAGCTGGCGAGCTTCCGGTGCTGGAGCTCTACAGGCTGTAGGCACCCTGTGCCCTTGGACTCAGCATGTCCTATACCCTCTCCCCTGCAGGCTCCATCCAGGAGGTGGCCCAGTTGCGGCTCCAGCTGCAGCAGGCACAGAAGGCACACTCGCTGAGTGAAAACATGAACAAGGCCCTGCAGGTGAGCGTGGCCCGGGGGACTCTGGGTACCCAGGGTAGGCAAGGCAGCATCAGCGTTGTGAGTCTCAGGTTTCTCTGCATAGGGAGGCAGGTGGCCTTTCTTCATACCAGCTGCGGGAACTGCTCACCAGCCGATCCATACAGCCCGATGTGCAAGCACAGGTCTGCCCCTTCCCAGGGCCGAGGTTTTCATCTGTTGCATGTCCCAGCAATAAGTTCATCTGTGTGTGTTCGTGTAGAATGTTTAGTTTAGCTGTCGTTCTCTCACATTCTTCTCCAGTGCTGTTTATGTTTTCTGATGAAAGGGGAGAACAGCCATGTTTATAGCAGCAAAATTATAATAGCTAAATCTTGGGAGTGGCCCGCATGTCCATCAACAGTTGACTGGATAAAGAAAATGTGTTGTTTACACACAATGGAGCATTAGTCTGCCAGAAAGAAGGTTGAACTTGAGCCGGGGTTAGCTCAGTGGCACCTCGCCTGCCTCGCAAGTGCAAGATACTGAGTCTGATCCCTGGAACCAGAAAAAAAAAAAAAAGAAGGTTGAACTCGAGTCATTTAAGGGAAAATGGGTGCACCTGAGACCATAATGTTAAAAGAAAAAGATCAGACACACAGGCTTAGATGTCACATGGTTTCTCCTCTGTGAGAAACCAAAGTACAAATAAAGAACAACATAAAAGATAGATCCTAGGAAATACGGAGATAGATATTTTGCAAATGGGAAGGGGACTAAGAAATGGAGGGAAGGGAAAAGAATGGGAGGAGAAGGGATAGCAAGAGTGTTGCGATGTATTGTGAACATGAGCCAACTCCCTGTGAGGAGTGCAACCTACGTACTGCAGTCACGTGCTTGAGGCGTTTTTTGCTTCCTATTGATCATTAAAGTCTAAAACACAGATAGAATGACTGATTTGTTCATACATGAAAATAATGGGAATTATCTTCAATACTCCCGTGTTCTAGGAGGAATTAACAGAACTAAAAGATGAAATTTCTCTGTATGAATCTGCTGCAAAACTAGGAGTACTTCCAAGTGACTCGGAAGGAGAATCAAATACAGAACTCGCCGAATCATATGTGGATTTGGGTATTAGAAAAGTCAACTGGAAACAACCTAAAGTTAACAGGTATCAAGGGACTGTTTTAGTTTACTGTAGAGGAATTTGTATGAATAGGGCTGGTGCTGTGTGGTAAACAGGTGGCACCAGGTGTGAAAGAATGAGGACTTGAAGTTCTCCAATGCGGAACAGCATGGTTTCAGTAATTTTTACTAAAGCTTAAATGTCTGAATTCAAAGTGAACGGTAACCTGAGATATTAATCTATCTTCAGCACTCCAATCGGCTCATCAATTTCAGAAGGGTAAGAGGTGGTTAGTGTAGTTGAAATACACAATGGAAATTTCTCACTGTGATTACGACTCTGTTCTCACCGTCAAGGCAAGGGCATACTGTTTCTGTGTTAACACTGTGTGTGTTCAAAACAGACGCTTGGCCTTTATCGGTGATATGTAAGAAAGTAAACATCAGCTTTTCCTTGGAACCTTACTGTGAGGTTAGGTTATGAAACAGAGATAAAAAATACTTATAAAATGGAGATTCTTTCTTTTACAGTACTGCTTAATACGGATATCTGAGCACGCTCATGGAATAGATTGCTTCTTCCCCCTCCCAGTGTGTGGCAGGGAGGGAGGGCTGGTGTTGCAGAGGGAATATTAGATACTTAAAAATCATCGAACGAACGAGACTTCCATCATCTGCACACTTCGGAAACACCTGCTGCTGGAACTTTCTATGCCAGACTCTGGAAATACAGTACAAAAAAAGCCCACAGAAAGTGTCCTCCCTGAGTTTACATTCATGGGGACAGGGAGGCCAGGAATGGGGTACCTGTGAGCAGCCAGATGCTCTTGGGTGTGAAGTGGGATTTATCCTTTCCTATCTCTTGCTTTTGTTCCTGGAATCTGGGGTGCTGTGAATGCCCCCTAGAGGTTCTTTCCAGGCTCTTGTCCTGAACAAAGAATAGGTCAAGACATGTGAAAAGGCAGTAAGCGAGGTTTCACTTTTATTAAAGGCAGGAAAAGAAGTACGCTCCGCAGAGTGAGTGTGGGCATCTGAGGAGAGACAGCTCGTGGGCAGGAGGTTAATGGCCACCATCTCTTGTGTTCTCCATGTGACATCAGATCTAGGCCATCCTATTAAAAACCTGCTCGGTCTCCTGCCAGAGGAATTGAAGATAGAATTTTCTGATTGGTCGTAGGTGCAGGGCTTGGCCAAATGTATCCTGAATGTCCATGATTGACAGGTCATGCTCACATGCCAGCTGTCTGTCTGTGCCCTTATCTCCTGCCTCAGTTTGGGTGAGGGACCAAGATTGCATTTAGACTAAGGAAAGTGTTTCTGAAGTGCATTTGGCCTTCATCACATTATCTGACTTGTCATCATCGTGTTAGTGTTCAGTGACAGTGTTTAATACGTGTTGTGTTTCAGTGTTGTTTGTGTCCGCGAGCCTCCTCACGGAACAAAGGTTCAGGAACTCAGACTGGGAGGGCAAGGCACGGAATCACCAAGCAGACTCTGGAGAGGTTTTTGGAACACTTCTACTTTTATAAAGTTCAGCCAGCAGTTTATAAAGTTTTGAAAGAGGGAGTGGCAAAGGGGGAGTAATATATTTGGCTTAACAGGATTGGTTATTGGAGTGTCCTTGGACAGGCGATGGAGGCATCCAACTAAGGGGGATGGGCGAGGCCATACCTGGACATAGACAGGCTCAACACATGAGCTCGGCCTCTAGTGTGCTAGGAGACACACGTGCGGTGCCTTTGTCCCAGCCGGACTTGTACTTCACTTACATCTCCACTGTCAAGCAACTAAATGCAGTCATGTAAATCTCCCAAAGAGTTTGCTTTATAGCAGGCTTTAGTGGGTATATTTTCAATAACTGTATTTCTGTTTTTAGAGCAGAAGGATGAAATTCAGTATTGAAGTCTTGAGCGACCAGGTGATTTTGCATCACTGTTCAGTTAACTGAGGCTCCATTTATCTGGTAGTCTGTGTTCAGAAACTCTCATCTCTCCAGATCACAGCTGTATGTGAGAAGGAAGCAGAGAGGAAAACAGCAGGATTAGATTGAGATGCTTTTAATAGGAGCCACCTCAAAGCTCTTATCTTAGGGCCCTAATGACAGGTTCATTCGTACCCCGTGGACTATCTTATTTCCCAGTTGGCTACAGTGGAGCTAGGACACAGGGCTGGGAGAGGTGCTTCCCGTGCCTGGTCAGACAGCTGCACCTTAGCAAGAAGAGAACCACGAGGCCCGGGGCTGGAGCTGCAGAACGGCGGGGCAGGGAGCCCCACACCCTGGTCTACGTCACAGTGTCCGCAGTTACGATCCCAAGTTCTTGAAAAAAACCTTAGATAACTAAAGCCTAAGAGGAAGTGTGTTTTACCTTTTAAAGACAGATTTACATGCGATTTTAAAGTTAAATATGGTAATCTGGAACACTGTCTGCTGTGAATGCCTTATTTCCTGTCATTGCTAGATAAATTCCAAGGGGCCAGTGCAGAAGTGTGGGCTTAGGTCCCGACTGTTTTCTTACTGGCTTTATGACCTTGGGCAAGTTTCTTGGCCTTCCCTGAGCCTGTTTCCTTTTCAGGCTTGATATTACTTGGAGGTTAAAGTGAAGGTTAAAATAGACAGTGAATGTAAGAGCCTCTTGAACTATGTTCTAGCACATATTACATACTTAAAAGATACCTATTATTGTTCCTATTTAATAGTAGCAGGTTAAAATATGCCACTGATCACATTTTATATTTATCTAATTTGAAACCAACATGTACTTTGTGAAAAGCCTTTGACCCTTGATCTTGTGGCCAGTGTTGGCTCCAGTATTACCATGTTGGGCTCGGGAAAACAAGCTCAGAGCAGTGAAATCCTCTGCCTAACAAGACAGTCAGCCTCACAGTGGAGCCAGGATTTGAACCCAAACTCCCACCCCCATTTTCTTTGTGTCCATGTTTCCATGATAGTCAAAACTTCTTGTCTTAAAGTTTGTTCTTCTTTAGATTTTCTAGTTTTGAGGATTAAAGTTATAGTTCATGCCAAAAATGAATTTTTGACGATTGGTTATGGCTTTATTTTGTGCCATAATCGGCCTAGGAACTGGCTATCAAATACATACAGAGATACGGCCATGTCTTCCCGAGTACGTTTTACTACTTTGGAACTTTGTATTTATTTAGCACTTAGTATTAAAGTGTTTGCCTGTAGATAATAACCCTGAGACTAACACCTGTATTACAGTAAAGGAAATGACGGGGCTCAGGGAGAAGACAGCAGGGAAACGCAGGGCAGGGAAGAAATCAGCCGCTGTCATCGCACCCAGTGGTGTAACTTGGCTCCAACAGAGTGCAGAGCATTGAGATTTGTGCCTTTTCTTCCGCTGGGCTGTGAGTCTCCGAGTAAGCCCAAGCCACAGTTCCCCGTATTGAGCATTTCAGCTCTCTGTTAGCTCCAGCGGCTTTCAAATCGCTGACCTACATCCGAGCAGTGCGGGCCACCGCCTCTCTGGAGTTACCGCCTGCCTTACATTTTAAGGGCTTCTCCTCAGTGCTGTATTTTACTTCCCCGGAATCTGAATAGCTAAGTGTGCATGTAGCTCTCAGACAGACAGCTTCCTCTCGCCCTTATAGTTGGCTGAGAAGCTCAAATAAGAAACGTGTAACAAGTGGGATGCCTTTTTCCTTTGGTCTTCTCGGCAGGCTTCCGACCCGACCACAGTTTATTTGGATTTAGGGAACCGGCTTCCATGGGGCTTAGCTGTGAGTCTTCCAGGACGGGACCTTGTGTGGGAAGAAGAGAGTTATGTTAGCAAACGCTCTGTGCAGAGTACAGGGCCTGCTACTTCAGCGGTCGGCGTTCAGGCAGAAAAGAAATTAGGGCGGCGCAGTCTGTCAGCGGAGCAAAATAAGTGCTCGACTTGAGTCCATCATGTAAGCACGGGGAGGGGAAAATGTTTATTTTACATTATATTTCTTGTATATTTTATTTTTCATAATTATTTACGTCTTCTGTGTAAATAGAGGAGAGTCAGGCATGCGGATGTCCTTACGCAATTTCATACGCTGAAGTTACACACGCATGTCACAGGGAGCTCGTTTTATAACATCTTTTAAAAGTCTACCTAAAAATAAAGACGTGCTTACGTTTCCGCTCCTTCTCTTTCTCTCATGCATACACGATATTCTAACATTTTATTCGGAATCTTCTTCCAGACAACCCTGAAGCTCGCGTGGCTTCCCAGGCGCTGCTCCCGCCTCGCGCTTCCAGTGTGGAGTTTGAGGCCCTGTGCTGTTGGATCTGTCAATCTCTGCCTTTATGATTTCTGGCTGTTTAAAAGATGATTTCTTTCTAGTGCTTTTTATACTTTTATGCTTAAACCTTTAAAATTGTGAACTATAACTCTTAAAAACATGCACGTGAGCCGAAGTGTAGAGTTTCCTGGGTTATTTGAAAACTCCGGAGATTACCCCGAGGTTGAGAAATGAGCTCTGCCCATAGCTTCCGTCTTCCTCTTTCCAGTGCTGACCTGGCGGTTAAGTACTCTCCTAACTATTGTGGCATTCGCTTTCTTGTTTTTCTTTATCGCCTTAATACCTAGTTATTCACAGCTAGAGGTTATAGGTTTGCCTTCCTATTAAGAAGACTCATATAGTAGGTGTTTTATATTTTCTTGCGTTCCTTTTCATTTCTTTTTTCCTTTTTGTTTCTTCTTTCTTTCTGGCTAGCTTTCTGGCTATACTTTCTGAAGTATATTTCACATACCATAAAAATCACCCATTTCAGTGTACAGTGCAGTGGTTTTTATTCACAGAGCTGTAAAACCACAATCACAACTTAATTTTAGAACATTTCAACAGCCACAAAAACAAAAACAAAGTCCACCTCTCCAAACCCCACCCATATCTGTCTCTTGTCGTCCTTGCCCCCACAGCTCCAGGTAACCCCAGGCGACTCCCATCCCCATGGATGTGCTTGCTTTGTGCCTTCACACAGGAGATCGTATAACATGGTCTTCTGTGACTGACTTCTTTTACTTTCCTAATGTTTTCATGTTGTATTGCATATTAGTACTTCGTTTCATTTTATAGCCTGATAATAATTTCATATATAAGTCATAAGGCAATTCTGTGTTTATCATTTTGAAGAAATGTCAAATTGCTTTGGTATGTTGATCTTGTATACCATCACATTGCAGAAGTGGTTTATTCAAATGGTTTTTTAGTGGATTCCTCGGAATTTTTTGTATTCAAGACCACGTCATGTGAATAAAAGAGGTAATTTTGCTTTTTTCTTTTTAATCCGGTTACCTTTTTCTTTTCTGACCAGAGCCTCTGGTTAGAACCCTCTAACACCATTGAATAGAAGTGGCAGGAGGAGAAATCTTTTCATTGACCTGGATCTTAGTGGGAAAGATTCAGTCTTTGTCCTTCGTTGTCCTTTAGGGTTGACATTAGTTGTAGGGTTTTCATAGGTGTGAGTGTTGTAGCATGTAGCTGTCACTCATTCTTTTTTATATACGCACGTTTCCTTTTTTGTTCTTATGAATATTTCACAGTTTATTTTCCATTTAGCTGTTCATAGATTCTTACGTTGCTTCTTGGTATGATAAAAAACAAACACAAGTTACATACTTCCAAGCCACAGTGGTGGGACGAGGATAGAATAAACATTCCTACTCTGGAAGGGAGAAATTGTCAAGTGGAAGGAGGAAGCAGTGTAAATGCCCAGCCGAGTGGACGTTAAATCCCAGAGCTCAGGCCTGCCTTTGTGTGCAAGATGTAGTGAGGGCTAGTTTAGCAATTTGACATCAGTTTTCTTTATGTTTCTTCTGCTTGAGACTCATTGGATGTCTAGATTGTAGGGGAGTTTTGTTTTCATTAAACTAGGAAAATATTGGCCATTATTTTTTCAAATATTCTTTCCCTTTCCCTTTCCCCTTCTGGGACTTCATTTATATGTGCAGAAAACTTAATGTACTGTGACTGTTTCTGTTTCAGTCCCTCTGTGTTTCATTGTGTAGTTTTATTTATATAGTTTTAGGTTCCTTGGTCATTTCATATTCATATGCTGTTAATTTCATCCAGTTCAGATATTGTGACTTTTTGTGACTCCCTGAGTTTAATTTGTGTGGATTTTGTTTGTTTTACTTTGTTTTTTGGTGATGTTGATGCTAGGATTCAAACCCAGGGTCTTGTGTAGGCTTGACGAGGATCCTACCACCGAGCTATACCCCCAGTCCCAGCCCTTGGTATCTTTAATATTGTCCGTTTCTCTGCTCCTATTCTGCTCCTGTGGAATACATTTGATTAACCGTAATACATGTGTCATTGCTGGGTCAGTCTTGATTGATTGATTGATTTCTTGCTTATTGTTTGTGTTTTTCATTCCTGCTTCTTTACATGCCTGGTGAATTTTGATTGCATATTAGATGTTTGTAATTGTGTACTTTGGATGGATTTTATTGATTTTGAAGGTACTGTTGGACTTTTTCTGTGACACATTTAAGTTACTTGGAATCCATTTGACCCAAAGGTTCTATGACGTCAGATGCAGAGCAGCAGTGAAAGTGAGACTAATTCAACCCCATTACAAAATCAGTGGTTGATGCCCTGTGACATAGGGCATCTTCTTCCTATGGCTTACATTCCTACTCTTATGCTGTAGTTCTTTCTCCCCTGTGCATGTGTGTGTTCTCTCTCTCAGTCTCTCTCTCTCTCAACATGTATAAACAGTGTGTAGTACACCAATATTACAACTGTAAGCCACGTCAGTTCACAGCAAGGCCAGGCTTGAGAATCATATTTCCATCAGTGAGCTTCTTTTTGTACATAGGAATACAGCAAAGGTGATACTCTTGTGTGTGTGTGTGACAGAATTTGAAATTGTTTTGAAATACGTACTTGTAATTGTATAGGTGACAGTACATGTTACGTTACTGATTTAGTCCTAATGAACCCCATTTCTCTGTCAGCACCATGCAGCAGGAAGACCCGAATGAGGAGCTTTCCAAGGATGAGGTCATCCTGAGGCTGAAGGCAGATGTGCAGCGTCTGCTGGACAGCAACTCAGTGAAGCGTCACCTGGTGTCTCAATTACAGAGTGACCTCAGGGCCTGTCACCAGGAAATCAAGGATCTCCAGCAAGCAAAGGATGGCAGGAGTGTGGAGGTTCAGGTGTGTAGCTCTGTACAGTCGGAAAGCCATTTTTAAAAGATGCAATAAAAGAACTTTAATACAGTGAAGCCTTGAGTTATAACTGGCCAACGTATGGACAACTTGGATTACGACCAAAATTTTAGTTTTAACTTACAAAGTCTTGAGTTATGACCTGAAGGCTGGCTGCTTGTGTTTCTAGATGGTCTTAGTTACAGATTTAACTCTTACAGAGTTCTGGAAGGACCATTACATCATCCTTTTCTGTGTGGGTTTAACAGAAATCCTGGGCTAGTGTCTTTCTAAGGACCCTGAGGTCTGCCTGTGTACGGGAGAGAGACTCTGAAGGCTGTGTAGAGGAGCCTGAGCCTTCACTGACCAACCTGGGTTACAACCAGCCCTCGGGAACGAATTGAGTTCGTAAGTCAAGGGTCCAATGTACCTCAAGTGTTGAGGTTAAGCCTTTGTTTGTTAAGGGTTCATTTGACTCCTTTAGAAGTAAAGTTGAAATGAAGAAAAGGAATATGTTTTCTGCCTCTTCTCAGGACCTAAATGAGATGTGGGTTAAGTAAAAAATCTTTACCACTGATAACCAGGAAGCATTTTGTGTTATAGGGTATCTGTACTTCTTCAGGGTTGACTTATACCAACAGTGCTTTAGAACCTGATGTAAGTGAATCCTGCATGAGGAAATCCTGTAGAATTTTGTTGTGAGCTTTCCCCAGCCTATGTTCTGATAACAAAAATCATTCTATACAAGGACATTGATTATATAGTTCTGGCAGGACAGATGGGAGAGATCCAGAGTCCGGTTACATCAGTCCTTGAAATCCACCTCCATATCCATCTCTTAGTAGCTTTATTTGGTGGATGAGGGAAAAAAGCTGGGGGAGTTTGCAATGCTTTTGAATTACTGAGTCAATCTTGGGCAAATCAAAGCTAAAACCCACCGTGGCTATTCCCTGAAGGTCATGCTGTCACAGAGATTTTTACTAGTAGTGCTTTTTCTTTATTTTATAAATTCTCACTGTCTATACTCTCAAGAGAAGATGCATAAAAACCTAGTCCTTGAGAACAGGAAAAGGAAAGGGGAAGAAGGGGATGCAGGTAGTTGTTACGTTTTATATACGAAGTGTCCCCCAAGGACTTTTCTATTGAGAACGACGTCAGCGCAGCAGTGTTGAGAACTGGAACCTAGAGAGGTGACGGAATTGTGAGAGTGATGCCGTGATCATGAGTTCGGAGCTGAATGGGCCCAGCTGGAGGACAGAGGCCACTGGAGTGACACTGACGGGTACATCTTGTTCCCAGCCCCTTCCTCTTTGGTGCCTTCACTCTTTTCTGCTTCTTGGCTGTCAGGAGGTGAGGAGCTTTCCTTTGCCATGAGGTCTCTGTCATGGAACCAGCTGACCATAGACTGAAATCTTGAGCCAAAATAAACCCCTCCTCCCATAAGTTGTGCATGTCGGGTATTTTGTTCCAGTAGTGCAAAGCCAACTGACACAGTAGTGGGCGCCTTTACATCCTGGAAGGAAATCATTTTTTGCTTCCCACTTTAGCACTGTTTTGTTTACTGATCCTTTAATCTAGGAATTGTATTCATTACAAATTTCCAAGTCAAAGTATGTAAAGTGTTCCATGGTGTTAATTATTATGGGATTTTAAGTGTAGCTAATTTATTTTCCAGAAATAATAATGTATTTTTACTGTCAAAATCCCGCCCAGTCTGGTTTCCTGCTCTGAGTAACTGTATTTGATAACTTTAACATTGATTTTAGTGTTAACAGAGGGAACTCCCCCAGCACATTTAACATCTTTAAATCAATATATTTTAATCGTGAACATATGCTGTGAAAACATGGGAGTTGAGAGTATGTCTCAATTTGTGGAGGGCGGCGGGCTTTGATTAGCTTAAGCGTTTTGGTGAGCGTATCCTGGAATGAAGAGTAGGACCTTGCTTCGGTGCTTGGACCTTGGCTGAAGTTTCCAGTGCTGTCTTTGTTCCATGTTGGAGTCACTAATGGCGCCCTCTGCGGATCCACTCCCTCCCATCTGGCAGGCTGCAGTGACACTGCCTTGTGCTGCTTCTTTAGCCTTCCCTCTGCCTCCATAGTTGGGCTGACTGGGAGCTCAGAGAGCGCTGTCTCGGCTTGAGTACACTTTTTGTCCTGCTGCTCTTTGCCATGTGACTTCTCTGGGGTCCGCATCTGTGCTCAGATTTTTTCCCCCTTTCTATAGCCCCTTTTCTGCTTATGTCTCCTCTGCTCTGAACAAAATGATATGCGAAGGAGTAACTAGTGGGGCTCGGGATAGGTACAATGCTAAGATGGTCAACTTACTGTGCAGCTGTTTCCTAGGGCTGTTGCCTGGATGATTCTCTGTATGTTGGCTGCTGTTTGTTGGACACACGCACATACTGACTCGCTTTCACCCAAGTGCATAGTCATCCAGCTAGCCCATGAATACTTTAACGTTTGCCTTTGCCTCCTGTTTCCTACATCTTTGATGGTAGCATTTTCAGTTTGTCTGGAAGTAAAATGAGAAAGCGTGTTTTGGAGGTATTGGGTGATATATAATTGGAAAAGCAGATCACTGGTATTTATTTATTTATTTAAAGTGAGTCTGTGTAAGGTCCCATGGGATTCAGTAATGAACTAATGGCCATTCCTGGAAGAAACTTAGAACCTAGAACAGTGGTATTCAGTAGAAATACAGTATAGCCACATACTAACTTAAAATCTCTTTAGTAAATCTGATAAAATTAAAGTAGTATGGGAATTTAATTTTAATTTTAATAATGCGTTTCATTTAACCCAGCCTACATGCTCTTGGACTTAAGATGGAGTTATATCCCCCAAAATTTATCAGAAGCCAAATAGCAAAAGTTACAGATGTGTTCAATACGCCTAATCCAGCAGACATTGTAGCTTAGCCCCACCTACTTTAAATATGCCCAGACACAGATGGTTGGGGAAAAGTGTATGGCACAAAGCCAAGTTTACAGCCAAGGGCTTAGGGCCTCGCTGGTCGCAGTGCACTGCAGTGTTGGCTTCCCCTGTGGCTCAGCACTGAGCTTCCTGTCACTGCCTGGAAAAAGAGCAAGTTCAAAATGCAAAGTGCAGCTTCTGGTGAATACACATCACTTTCACATCACCCTAAACTTAAAGAATTGTAAGTTGAACCATTAGAAGGTGGGGACCATCTGCTTATGCAAAAGGTTATCCACATTGTTAATTCATGGAATTAGTAGAGAAATTATTAATGAGATGGATGCCATTTTGCGTATGCGAAATAAGTCCTTGAAATTCAGCATGTGATTCATACTTACAGCACATCGTAGTTTGTATTGCCCCCCTTTAAATGCTCCATGGTCACAAGGGGTCGATGCGCTATCACATTTAGTATTACAGGTCAATGAGGGAAGGGGTACCTGTAACCTAGTATAATACAGATTCTACACAGTGTGAACAAAATGGTATGCGAAGGAGTAACTGGTGGGGCTCGGGATAGGTAAGATGCTAAGATGATCATAGAAATCTTTGTGAGGGGACGTTTGATCCTTGTCCTGAAAGGCAAATCCAGGAGAGAAGGTGGGAGAGGATGTTTAGCCTTGAGCAGAGCTACCTAAAAGGACAGTGCAAGTACGTTGGTGTGACCAGCGGGTAGGGTGTGTGATGCAAGCATTGTGTTGGACAGGCACTACCTTTCTGAAATCTTTATTGAGGCTAAAAAGATTTAAATGTCTCAGTGCCGGTTTTTATAAAGAATGATCACAGATACCTGAGGTTAATGAAATGATAGCATTGTGCAGGAAATTGAAGAGAAGGAACACCTGTATATCTTCTTAAAGAACTGGGTGTCTTTTCTGAGTATGTATTTCTAGGTATTGAGTACCTATTAAGAAGGCCGGCAGACCTATTTACTGTGTAGCCATTTGGCATGCTTCTTGTGTGAACACTTTAACGATACAGTTATATTTACTGCTTTATCCATACTTTGGAATACATTTTATGTTTGTTTATATCCATCTTAATATAGAATGATTTAAAATTATCCCAGAGGGTTATGGTTTTTGTGTCCATGTCATGACTTCATACCAGTGGTTTATTCCAAGCTGAGTTCTTGCTCAGGAATCTCATCTACAGTAATAAAATTGTTTCTGTACAAAACCTGGATATACTGTTCTGTGATATTTCCAAGATGATATGTGAGGAGAATTAGAAGTCTGCCCGCACATAGATAGCACTGAGCAGATCAAGTATTAGGCCATTCATTCCAAGGAACCAGCCGGCCCATTGAGGCAGAATGTGCCAAACATTTTAGGAGATCCAGAACTGCTTACTAACAGTCATGGCCCACATCTATACTGGATTTCTTGTGAACGTGATAAATAAAACAGAGGCTTTTCTGTCTGATCCTCAGTGAAAGTCTTTACCTTACTTCAAGATAAGTTTAAATGTATACTCTGATCCCAGAAGTAATGGATAGGCCATGTTCAGTAACCAGCTCAGCCAACTTCTAGCTAGAATCTCTTTAGACATAGAGTTGGTGTGTTTGATTTCTTGAAGACAGTGTGTTTGAGATTGCACCATCAGAAAGAAATTTTACTGAGACATTCATGAGATCCTTTTCTTTTTTAAAGTTCTTGTCCTGACAGGGACAGGTGCCTTGCCCTTGTGTCCCTGCAGGGTGATGCCATGTCAAAGTGGGGTAAAATCTTATCACGAGAAGTGGTTTTCGGTGTATTGGTTTGATGCTGCTTTGATCACTAGTAATAAAAACTCGCCGGTTTGGAAGAAGTACCAATGAATATCATAAACTTTTTTTTTTTTTTTTTTTTTTTTTTTTTTTTTTTTTTTTGATTGGGGGTTTTATGTTTTTGTTGAGCTTTCTGCGTACCTGGAACTCACTATGTAGCCCAGGCTGGTCTTGAAATCACAGCGATCCTCCTGCCTCAGCCTCCCAAGTGCTGGGATTCTAGGTGTGTGCCACCACACCTGGCCAAATATCATAAACTTTTAAAAACAGAGGCCAAGTTTAAAGAAAAACATTCTAGTGAGTAAGTAAAATCCTTAAAAGTCCAACAGAACCTTAAACGTGAGCAGAGCAGGTGTTCTTGGCTCTTTTCTCTTCTGACTGGGGAAAGACGGGAGAAGACAACAGTTGGAGTGGTCTTCCTTGGAGGGGGAGCACTGCTGCTCCCCAGAAGCCTTGTGTGTGTCTGGGTGTGGGGGTGACATGCACAGATTGTCGTCCTCCCAGCTAGGGAAGGAACAGGACATTTATTTAAAACACAGTGGAAGGGGCCAGATGCATACAAACCGACAAATGCCAGGTAGACAGGTGGACTTTAGAAATCTTTATGGAGCACCCCACCGTGAATAAAGCATGTATAACAGTAGACAAGGGAGACAGACAGCAAGAGGAAGGTGTGCAGAGTCATCCAAGCAGACATCTGGGAGGATGAAGGAGCCAGTGAAGGCGTGGAAGGGTTCCACTCCGGGGACAGCGCAGGCAGTGAGGGTGAAAGCGCTTGTGAGATGCCTTTTGCCATCCAATGCCTGGATTATTTCAAGGTCGCTGAGGGCACGGGAAGTGAAGCAAGTTGAGCAGACTTGGACCCTCTCAGTAGGATGCATCTGTATGACCTTAATCCTTCTAGAAAACAATCTGCCAGAGTCTCTCATGAGTCTTAACAGATGTACTTACCAAGTAAAATATATATGCATGAGTTAATAGTGGAACACAGAGGTAGAATCAATGCTGACCTTAGTGCGTGAAAGTCTGACAAGAAATAGGACTTTTCAGAAGACACTTAGTCATTTGTAAGCCCAAGGTAGTGAGTTGAGAGAGGAGTCCCCTGGGAGGGGCTGCCTGCAATGCACTGAGGCCTCGCCAGTGAGGAGACACTGATGCCTTTTGCCTCCCGGGAGGAGGTCACGTCAGTTTCCGGCACCACCCTCGCACTAAGATGTGTAACCCGCACTTAGATACTGAAGTTAACCTCGGGAAAACCCAAACTGAGTGACATGCTGTGAAATAATGTCAGAGAGTGAAAGGCAAAACCGGAAGAGCTGTCTTAGACTAGGGGAGACTCGTGAGACTTGACGGTGCAAAGTGGAATCGTAGATTTGATCTTGGACTGAGAGGAAGGACGTTACAGGAGAACTGGAGACATGGGCATGAGGTCCGTAGGTGAGGTGACAGTGTGGCGTCCGTGCTCATTTCCTGGTTTTGATCCCTGTATTTGGGAAAGATGAGTGAAAGGTATGCGGAAATCATTTATGTTGTTTTGCAGTCCTTTGTAAGTGTGAAATTATTTCAAAATACTCAGAAATTTTTAAAAGTTTAAAATATTTTTGATTTCTTTTTAACACTCAGATGAAAATCGATACCTCAGAAAAAACAGTGAATTCACCGTGGCCCGACTCTTCTCCTTCTGACGTGATTATCCGAGATGATGTTCTGACACTTAAAAATGAAATTCAAGTTTTACAACAACAAAATCAGGTAATTAAAAAATGTCATGTATTTAATGAGAATTTTCATGACCCTATGAAATACAAAGGATTTGTTAAACTTTTCAGAGATAGAGGGAAATGTGAGGTAGACAAGTAGATCAGTAGGCTGTTTTTGGATCCAATTATTTCTCTTTAACCTGTGCTTCTGGGTAGCGGTCTCGTTGGAAGGTTAGTGTCATTCCTGTTTCCTTTCTGTAGAGTAGCTTGGCTCCTTAGCCAGCCCTTGACCAAAAAGTAAAACCTCATTTAAAGGGTTACTAAAGATTATGGCTTTCCAAGACTTATTTTAAGGTATCAGCCAACACTTCTGTGGTTCAGTATTTTCATTTCATATATTTCAAATAGAAATTTTTAATTTTTACTCCTGCTAGAAAGCTACTTATCAGAGAAACTTGTGTTCTTATCAAGGGGTGTCTTTTCTTTCATATGCAATTGAAATTATGATTAAGTGGTAGGGCAGACATAGACCATGAGGATCATGATTAATTAATGAAAATGTTTATGTCTTCTAAATACTCTTTTATGTCTAGGAACTTAGAGAAGTTGAAGAAAAGCTGAGGAATACAAATCAGGACTTATGTAATCAAATGAGACAAATGGTACAGGATTTTGACCGTGATAAACAGCAAGTTGTGGATAGGTGAGGTCTCTATAGATACCTAGTGCCTATCTCCTGGGTTCCCTCCCTCTCCAAGACTCCCCACACCCCCCAAAAACATTTTTTTAAAGGATAGATGGAGTGAACTCTCCTTGTTGAGATCTTAGATTGGCAGGGATAAGTTCCTGGCTTCTCAAGTTAGACTTTGGAACACATTTTCCATAGAAACAATGTTATGTAGTAGTCTGGGTTCTATAGCACCATCAAAACTGTGCTTCCCTGAAATATTACATCTTAGGTTGTTTTTTGTTTTTTGTTTTTGTTTTTCTTTTCTTTTTTTAAGGCTAGTTTGAGAAACTATTCTTTAAAGAAGAAATCTGTGGGAGGGAGTATGTCTTCCAAATACCAAATCATAAATTTAGAAACAGACTTTTGGGACATAACTTACTTGTGAGCTTGATATAGTCAGTATTTGTGTCAAGTGCATATAACTTGGAATTCTGGAACCATAATCAAATTATTTCTTTATCAACAGAAACCCTTAAAATTATTGCTATTTCTGGTTGGGGGAAAGGAAGCTGACCTTAATTATAATTTGCATTAGAAGGAAGGGATGGGGAGGGAGGAGGGAGGGAAGAAAGGAAGAAGGAAGGAGTGACACAAACCAGTTCGTTCTAGTGCTTCTCCCAGGACAGGTGCGGTCTGAGATTCTGCCCTCTGTTGCTAGGTGTGAGCGGACTTACCACCAGCACCACGAAGCCATGAAAGCCCAAATCCGCGAGAGCCTGTTAACAAAGCACACTTGGGAGAAGCAGCAGCTCTTTGAGGCTTATGAGGGGACGACGTCACGGCTCCGGTGAGAACTGAAGCTTGGCTGTCCTTTAGCCGGAGAGGCAGCGCTCCCCTAGTCCATAATTTGGAGGGAAATTGTCCTGGGGCCCTTACATATATATTTTTGGTCATGGAGTTCCTGGTTTTGTGTACACCCAAGGTCTGACCTAGATAATACGAGCAAGGAGCTGGTTGCTGTGCAGGAATGTTACCTGCAGGTGTGTAGAGAGAAGGATAATCTCGAAGCAGCTCTCAGGAAGACGGTGGAGAAGGAGCAGGAGGCCCAGAAGCAGAAGGTACCATGTGCTGTTTCTACACCATGTCCCTCCTCAGGCCTCGGGATTGTCATTTAAACTGCTACCCTTAGTCTGGGAAGGGAAGGGGGTTCAGAGAGACTTAAGTGTAGCTGGGTCACACAGTGTAATGAAGTAAGAAATCATTTTAAAAGTGACACAGACGTAGGACAAATGGTGTTTCCTGTAGATGCATTCTGGAAGGTCAGGAGTGGACCAGACCTGGGCTCTGCATGTCATTCCTCTGCTGACTGCTCAGAGAATCCCTTCATGCACAGTTTCCTCAGACCCGTCTCTCTCAGTAGCTCTGTCCCAGTGCTCTGGGAAGAAGGTGGCACTCTGGGTGTGGTCTGGTGACGGGGCTGGTGGTGATCAGGCCAGGGTGTCACTGTCACCTCTCAGGGAAGCTGGAAGGGCGGCAGGAGGTTCCCCAGCCCCCAGGTTCTTCTGGCTGCCCTTGGGGAGCCCCAGGGTGAATCACCATCATCACCAGTCGCCTGTCCTCCCTCATCCGTGTCCCCGGCTGATGAGGAGCCTTCCAGGCACCCTGCTGAGGAGCCCTTGCACTTGGAACCAGCTGCCGACCACACTTTGAAAGCCACTTGCTCCCAGACTAGGGAATATGCTTAGAGGCTCACCATGAGTGTTCTCTGTAGAGGTTTTTTAAATAAGTTACATTAAAGCCAGGGATCGCTACCACAGGCTTAAAAAGAACAGAGAGCAGGTGAGGCCTTTGGTTCACTGAATATTTTCATGATTTTTAGTAGATAAAGACGGTGAAAGAACTTGCCATGGGTACATAGCAGTCAGTGCAAGAGTAACTTCTAAAGGGAGCTGCTGTAATTAGGGTTGGCAGTGTAAAAGTTAAAGGGGTCTTAAATTACCTAAAAATCGAGAATTTGGCTTCCAGTAATGTTTTAAAAGTAAAAATGGGGAGAAGCTCTCTAGTATGGTTCCGTTAAAAAATACATAGATAAATTTGGCAAGAACATAAGAGCAATTCTCTCAAAGATGTAGTTCTTTTCAGGAATTTGTTTGGGTACTTTTAAAGCAATCAATTTGGTATAAAATTGAATCTCCTCAGTTGTAGGTAATAGCTGCTACTGACTGATAATTTGACCTACAAGTGTTTGTGCATAAATGCAAGAAAGAAAGTTAAAACTGCTGTTTGGCTCCTAAAACACTTTAATTAGGTTAATATTCTTCAAAAATCTTAATCATCATGCAGTAAAAGTTATCATTTCTGTCATCAGATATATAGTTGTATAGACTTTTAACAATGTATTTACTCATAGGATCCCTGAAACTTCCCTCTGCTATAATTTTGTAGTTTTACCTGGCCCTCACTTAAGGGATCAATATATTTAGAGCAGGAGTTTTATTTCTTCCTTCTCTTGGAGTTCTCTCAGGTTTTTATTTTTATTTTTTATTTTTTTTCTTTTTATTGAGTTTATTGGTACATTCTAGGTATACAGTACAGTTACATTCATTACTGGGATCTTTTTTTTTTGATACTGGGGATTGAACTCAGGTCTTTGAGCTTGCAAAGCAGGCCACCGAACCACTGAGCTAAATCCCCGGCCCCATTACTGGGATCTTGTACCTTTACATGACAGGTTTTGGCTCTCATTTTTTACCCCTGTCCCTGCCCTCCCTTCACCCCCACCTCCCTCCACATTTACAAACACTTTATTTCCATTTTTTCATTTTCTCATATTTTTTTCTTTTCCCTTAAAGTTTTTTTTTTTTTTTTTTTTTTTGTACCGGGGATTGAACTTGGGTCCTTGTGCTTGCAAGGCAGGTGGCAGAACCACTGAGCTAAATCCCCAGCCCTTATTTTTATTTTTTAAATATAGACTTATATAAGCCCTTAGCAGTCTCTGTAAGCCAGTCAGAATGGGAACACCTTTCTACTTTGGAGAATTTATCTAATCTCGTACACTGAAGAGGTGGGCAGAGGTACAGCAATTGGTTTTCCTGGAAGTGTCTCTCAGGGGCACAAGGCAAGAATCTCACTGAACTCTGGAGCAGGCCAGGCCACAGTACTTCCAGTAGCGCTTCCCTGCAAGACGCGCCCTTCCCCACAGCCCATTTCAGGGAGGAACAAGGTGTGGTCCCTGAGATGGGCAGCTGTGGGGTCTTGGTTACCCTTCCATGAGTGCTGAGGGCCCAAACAGACTCATGCGTCAGGCGGGACAGGGCGTGGCAGCTGTGAGACCCAGCTCACACAGACTCCTCCTCACATTTTAGCTTGATGCCTTCAGAGAAAGGGAAAAAAAGGGGAGAAAAGAAACTTACACGCACGCAACCCTTGTGATTGGGTGGTAGGTATTCTGTGAGGTTGTCCGTGTGCAGATGAGGCAAGGAGGACTGTTCCCAGGCACATGAAGACTCAGTCACACAATTCTAATATAAGCTTAGCAAGTCCTTAGAAGCTAGAGCATTGTTCCTTTGGTTTTGGGCCTTTTCTTTTTCTATCTATGCAATGCACAGGTTTAAATATTTTTTTTGGTTTTGTTTTTAACCTGGAGACCATTAGTATTGTATAGATATTTACTTGAATTTTGTTTAAAGAAACAGCTCTTGGAAGAAAAAGAACATATAAGCAACCATCAGCTGGAACTTGAAGAAAAGTACCAAGAAGCGCTTGTGATGGAAAAAAACAAGTGGCTGAAAGAGCAAGAAACTGATGTGAAACAGCAGATTGAAAACCAAGTGATGTCAGCCAAAGCGCACTGGGATAAGGAACGGAAGGAGGTGTGGGTTACGGTTTCTCCCTGCTCCCTGTGTGTGATAACATGTGGAATTAACTGTGGGAGACACTTCCTCCTGAACAGACACTTGATTGCCCAGTACATAAACAGTCATCCATCTGCTCAGCCACCTTTCGGAATCGGGCCATCAGCAGCTTGCTCTGCCAGTTTTATTTTTTTTTACATTACCCCCTCTTGACTCTTCGTCCAAATCCAGGATATAACAGTTTTGGGGGCACTTCTTTGGTGCCTAAAGATGAAACTGTAAGTCTAATTTCATATTATAAAATGATTCTGAGAACTCTAGAATAGTATCTGTCATTACCCCATCAATAATCCCAATAACAGATCAGAAGGAAAGTGAGCACAGGCTCAGAAGCAAGAGTTTATTTCTGTTGCCCAAGAAGCAAATGAGATTACAAAACACTCTTGCTTTCCTGAAGAGAATAGAACCAAATCATGACCTTAAACACTCATTTGGACATGAAAAACAATTCTCCACCCCATTTAAAATAAATCCTGCTGTCCACAAGAGCAGTACCAATATTAACTGGTAGCCAGGAAAGCAGTTTGAGAGCCCTGGATGCTTAGGAGGGGAACAGGAAGGAGAAAAGCAAGTTTGCTACTCACGGTTTTGGCTGACTGTTTCGGTCCACCCCACTGCACTGCTGCAAGTGGAGAAATTGTGAGGCGTTTTTCCAGCATGGCCTCTCTTAAATGCAGACCACTCAATCAAATTTAACACCAGACAAATAGATTCTCATGTGCTCAAGTCAGTGAAACTATTTTTTAGATCGTCAATTTCAGTAATGACATTTACTCAGTGCTAGCTTTGTGGAAAGTAGTATCGATGGCAAAATACAAATTGAATGCACATTAATAGCGAAAGTTTTTTTATGCCATCTTTGCAGTGGTAGTATCTAAAGCTTCACAAGGTTGAATATTGACAGCAAGAGAGGCTGAGCTTAATGTAATTAAATCTTGCATGTGATTTTTTTTCTTCCTTATTATGAAAGCAAAAAGTGACTTTCCAGTTTTACTTTGAAATGTATTTTCATTGACTAAATCTCAACTTCATGCAAGGACTAGGACGGTGTCTAGATGCGTTTCAGACATGGCTGCGGTTCCTCTTCTGTCCAGCTATATTTCTAGCTGGTACTCGTTTGAATGTTTTTCTTCTCATGTGATTTTTCTCCTGAAAACAGATCAAGTGGAAACTAATGCAAGAGCTGGAAAAGGAGTGGCAGGCGAAGCTGGATGAAAGTGTAAAGGCATCATCAAGAAAGGAGACGTCAGATCGTGGCAGCCAAACTGACTGCCCAGCCACCCTGGACGTTGTTTCCAAGACAGAGGTGGCCGCAGCGGGAGAAGAGCAGAAGTGCGTGGTCCAGCAAGATGCAGGGCATGAGAGGGAAACAAACGTGAAGGGGGACTTGAAGAAACTTGAAATTGACCTGGAACTCAAATACTGTGAGAGTATTGCCCAACAGGTAATGGGACAATTATAGCAGAACTGTGCTGACAACCTGTGAATTTGTACTTTCAAGTTTTGGGTTATTTCTAGAGTACAAAAACCTGCTCCATTGTTCCCAAAGCTTTCTTCAGTATCTTCCTGTCATAAAACAGTCCCCCCTCAGTTTTTCTGTATATTCTTTCAGCTAACAAAAAATTTTTTTTTTCTTTTGAGATCTCGGCATTACAGTGCCTGGGTTAAAGATGTCTTAACATCTAAAAGAAGCACAATTTCACTATGAATCTTTTACATCTAATATCTTAGAAAATATTCTCCTAAAGTCGTTATAGATAAGTGAAGTGAAGCAGAGAATGTATCCAGCAGCTTTTGGTTGAAGCCCAGGTGTGCCTGTCCTGGGATCCAGGTCTGGAATCCCCATCAGTCAAAACAAAGCAGCGACCAGCCCTTCCTCTGAACCTCCCACAAATCAGCTTTTAACTGGGGCAAATAACTTCCTTTCCAAGAAATGTCATCCTGAGGAAAGTAGAGCCTGTGTTACCAGAGCAAAGATGAATTATTGTCTGTTAGAGCTATCGGAACCATTACAGTGATTTTTGAGTGTTTTTAGATTCAGGACTCCTTTACACTTTTAAACCTTGGGGACCATACAGAGCTTTTTGTCAGGATTCTTTCTGTTCACTATGTTGGAAAATAAATCTGAGAAATTAAAAAACACACACACAAGCATACCTGCTATTGGCTCTCAGCACATTGACATCATCAACATGGACGTTGTTCCAGGAGAGCTTTGCTGCTTGCACAGGAGAGGTAGGAGTGGAAAGGGCATCATCTTAAATTATTTTGAAAATAGTTTTGATCTCATGGGATGCGCCCCGTCTTAGTTACTTTCTCACCGATGGGACACAATACCTGACACCTGCAATTTAAAGGGGGAGAGATTGATTTTGGCTCACTGTTTTGTTTTGGCACCGGGGATCGAACTCAGATCCTTGTGCTTGCAAGTCAGGTGGCAGCACCACTGAGCCATGTCCCTGGCCCTTGGCTCACTGTTTTTGAAGTTCCAGTTCACACTGGCTGACAGGCAGAAACAGCCTGGTGGAAGGGTCTGGTGGGAGACAGATGCTCATGTTGTGGCAGCCAGGAAGCAGAGAGATGGGAAGGGGAGAGAAAGAAACCCTTCCAGGTCATCCTAGCAGCAAGTCAGCCATAGCACCCACGTGATCCAGTCACCTTCCAAACACATGAGGCCTTAGGGTCCAGTTTAGATCCAAACCATAACGCCCCTGGCAGTCTTTCTGGACTGCTATAGCCATTATAGTTATTATTTTATAAACTTCTAAATAATCTTGAAATAACATTTTAAAAAACATGCTTAGCTTTCGATAAGTACTTGAAGTTTTACTTATTTGTTTCATTGTTGAATATGATTTTCCATAGCATTCTTAGTCTGGCAAATGCATATTAGACATCATATTATAAAAGTTAGCTCAATGAAAATTATTTGTTTTCCTTGAGAACACATGCTCTCCAATAACATTTAAAATAAAATATAGCAGCCACCAACAAATTATCACATCAGCTGGATTTAGGCAGTATTGATCCCACAGAAAAGGCAGAAATGAAAACTGGCTGGAAAATCCAGGACACCTTATGGTATAGAAGGTACTCATGAATAATCATGATTGCAGGCCGGGGACTTAGCTCAGTGGTTCTGCCTGCCTTGCAAATGCAGGGTCCCGAGTTCGATCCCTGTTACCCCCTCCCCCACCAAATAATAATCATGGTTGTAATCCAGATATGATCTTTAGCATATCAATAAAACATGTAGTCCTGTATTCCTCACAGGCCTTTTCCTAGCATCTTAGCATCTTCCATGAATTCTTTAAGGTTGCACTGATCACATGGTTTGAGTTATACAATTTTGGCTCAATAATGAAGGAGCTTCTCCAGGTCATTGCAAGGGAGCAGTGCAACTAAAATCACTACTACTAATAAGATATCCCAGAACCATAACCTGCTTGACTATGCAAACTTCACTGGAAATGCCAGATATCCAGGACGAGACAGCATGAATGGAGCCACTGCTCTGTCCGCCTCTGCAGTACACACCTTGAGGAAAGAAAAACATAGAAAGTGTGTAGTAAAGGTGCCTACTGTTCAGAAGTGTAAGATGAAAATTAAACACGTAAGACAACCACAGTGCTAAGGACAACAGTGATAATTGTTCAGTCCTTTTCTGTGGTTTGAAAGTGTGTATATAACCCATTGAGAAAATATATGATACAGTTCTACACATCCAAAAGTTTCAGAGGTAACATCACTTCTCAGGAGTTTATCTCTAGCTGAGAATTGATTTAACTCCAAATGAATCAGTTTTATTACCACCTGAGGAACTGCTGGAGGCAAATAGTCCTTAGAACTGAGCCCAATAAAGAGAGCGCGTTTTTGTGGCCCTTTGCCATGGCTCTCCTGCCTGATGGTATGTGATCAACACGCCTCAAAAAACCATGCTCCAAATCACTCCCTTCTGCATCAGAACAGGCAAACCATGTATTTTTTGTATATTGAGGTAAATATATGAGGTTGCCTGTTTTGCTTCAGTGTCCAAAAAATGCCAGGTAGCTTATTTTTCCCCAGTATCAGATGTTATAGAAATAATACATATTTTGAAAATACTTGTTTTTTCATGAATGCTGTGTTTGTACAACATCCTTAGTGAATGTGCCTAAAAAACAGTAAGCAAAGGCATCTCTCATTTGTGACTGGGTTGCTAAATGAGGAATTGTATGCAGTGTGTGCATTACAAGATTTAGAACAAAGAAGTGGGCAAAGGAAACTCCAGCTTGATGACTTTGTTCTTGTTTGCATAACTTGCATACAGTACTGGAATGTATAACAACATAAAACTCACTGCTATTTTGTACAGTACAACCAGCAAAAATTACAGTACCATATAAAGAAGGTGTATTGTACCAAAAAAAAAAAGACACTGGGACTTTATCAACAGAATGTACAGAACTATCCCCCCCAAAAAAAAGATGGCTCGTAAGTCTCAGCAGCCGGTTATAAGTCTGAACAGTTGTTAGACAGCGAGGTTGTTAAACAAGGACTATCTCATAATATGTAATACTATCAGGGCCATCTTCCATCAGTTAAAACATTGTGTTTTCCTCAGTGTTGAGTAAGAAAATATTCCATGGAAAAAGTAATATGCCTCATTGGTATTTATGAAATCATAGATCTTGTGAAGAAAAACAATAGTATATAATAGTATAAATGAAATGTTTCATAATAACTTTGTAAGGAATATAAATTCCTATAAGAACTTTATCTTTTCTCCATATTTTTAATTCCCAGGGGTTTACATGTGGTTGGACTTGATACTTTAATGAGAAATACACCCTCATATCAGCTCAGCTTTTGTATATATGAATATCTGTATGTGTGTGTATCTATGCACATTTTAAAAGGCAGTAAAGCTATTTAATGAATGACCTTATAACCAGATCACCTTCATAATTCAAGTCTTTTTTTTTTTTTCTGAACTTAGGTCTGTCCCTCATTCTTTTGTACAAGCCTTTTTATTTATCTATTTTAAAAATCTTGTTGTACTGGGATTGAACCCAGGGATTTCACATTATGCTACGTCTCCAGACCTTTACTTTTTATTTTGAGATGAGCTTTCATTAAGTCACTGAGTTGCTCAGTCTGGGCTCAGGCTTGGAATCCTCCTGCCTCAGCCTTCCAGAGCAGTGGGATTACAAGCATATGCCCCCATGCTGGACTTGTACAAACTAATTCTTGTGGGCAGGAAAATGCCAGGTGTAAGGCTGCACACTTGAGTGGTATGTGCGTGCAGGGCAGTAACTGGATAGCAGCTGGTACCAGGCAACCCTCTGGTGTGCCTTGTCCTTCTCCCCAGGATAACTGACCTTTATGGAAATGCCAGTGTCTTGGGAGGTACTGCAAAACACACATGAGATTGTGGCGGATGTTTGAAAATGAGTCTTTCTGAAGCTGCTCTGCTTTTTCCTGTGATGTCCTCCAGGTAGAAACAGCTGTGCAAAATGCTCGTCGTAGATGGCTGGAAGAACTGCCAGAGCTCACAGAGTACAAAGCACGCCTGAGAGCCGAGCAGAAGAAGTGGGAGGAGCAGCAGGAGGCCTCCATAGCCAAGCGGGTAAGCGTGGTCCCGCAAAGGAACCTGAGGAGGTCATTTCCCCACCTCCTTGTTGCTGAGACACAGTGCCTGACACCTAGCGCTGAGAGGATGGATTCATCTGGCTCACGGTGTTGGGGGTGGATTCGGTTCGCGGTCTGAAACATCATGGTGGAAGGGTGCGGTGGAGCGAGTCGTGGAGGCCAGGAAGCCGCTGGGAGCAGTGCCAGAGAGGAAGGGGCCCGGGCCCAGACACAGACCCCAAGGCTTGCCTTCTTGACCCACGCACACTCACCCAGGCGTGTGCTCCTCCAGTCCCCACTCCTGCATCCTGGGAGTCTGTGTCTCCTCATGGCGTTGGTGAGGGGTTGTCTAAGGCAGTGCTTGTTCAACATCAGTGAGGCCGAGCCAGGAGCGTCTGTTCCGGCAGCCGTCAGGGGTGAAGGGAGGAATCGTTACTTTAGCATCTTAAAATTCTCACGGGGAGAAAGATAATCTCGACTTAGAAATTAATTTGCCTTCCGTGTTTGGGTGAGATTGACAACAGGTGGTTATGTGCTCGCCAGCTGCACGGCACGCAGTCACACGTGGAGGCTCCCTGTGCTGTGTCTGTAGGCGTCCCACACAGTCTCTGGGACGTGGCCGGCTCTCTGTCCAGGGATGTCTGCTCCTTGAAAGGAAAGCTTCTCTGTCATAACCATGTGTCCTCTTCCAACACCTCACTGGTCTAAATCAACTCTAACCAAAATGCCGACAAACTGGTACAAAATTGGCACAAAAACTCTCCAGTTTATTTGGAAAAATAAGAAGACCAGAATCTTTTTAGTGTCCTAGAAAAGGAGTCAGTCCGACTTTAACATGGAGTATATTGGCAGACAACAGTCCGGACAGTGTGAGTCACAGAACTGTTTTTCATTCTGTACACTACAGATGTCAAAGACAGGATCAACTGTGAATAAAAACTAATGAATTGTTTCAAAACAGGGGAATAAGAAATTATACTATTCCGTAATAGTCTCTTCACCGCCTTTTGTCTAAGATCAAGTGAGGAGACTCGGGATAGCCAGGTGACACTTTGGAAAGGTTATGTTTGCCACCCTCTGCATCCCGATAAGCGCTAGGTTCATAGTGTTAAACATTCATAATTGAACGTATGGAAAATGAAGTATTTCAGATAATTTAGGACAACTCATTCTTGAGGCAATGAACACAAGGGCAAAAATAAAATAATAGGTTTAAAACCCATTTTTTGTTTTTCTTAATAAGATAAAATTAAAATGATAATAAGAAAAATGAAAACAGAAGTGTTAATACTAATATATGATAAAGACCTTATAGAAATTTGTAAGAAAAACAGCCCCTGGATAAGTCCAAGCATATGTGCAGGTGATCTCCAGAACTCTAAATAGCAAAGAAATGAATGGAAGCGTGTTCGTGGCTCTCAGTCTTAGGGAAATAAGAGCTGACACAAACTTACGGTGCCCCTTTATGCCTAATGGATAAATCTTTCCTTCTGAATTCGGCACACAGAACATAGCAGATTACAGCGTTGAGGGTGAGATTTCACCCTGGGGCACAGCTGTAAATGACTCATGCCTCGTCTGCACCTTCATGTCTCAGAGTACTCGAGGAAAGGCCGGTTTCTTGAGTTCCAAAGGCGTCAAGTGGGTGCCATAGTTGCCTGGTTGTCACCCAGACCATGTCCTGAGTTGTTTGGTGTGGGCTGGGCATCCGTATGTTTTAAGAGCTCTTCAGATGCAGTGGTGTCCTGGAGCGGCTGAGTTGATAAGTCCTGTCATATTCTGTAAACTTCTCCCCAGGGTCGCAGGCTCTTGGTAAGGACCCACCACCTCCATGCAGGTCATTTGGCAGGGACTCCTGGGCCTCCATCGCAGTGGGACCTGTTTTCTCTAAGCACACCATTTAAACCTACCTCGGCTCGCTCCAGGGTTAGTGTGCTGCTGGAAAAGGAATTTGTGGTGAATTCGTTGGTGAAGCTCACCTCAGATGACGGTCCTCTTGGTAGAAGGTTTGATGAGCAGGTGTCCCACTTGCTCATCCTGAACCTCGGTGTGGAATTGGGTAACCGTGGTCAGATGTGGAGATGCCGATCTGTCTTCTGACGCAGTGTGTCCCTGTAACTTTGAATGCAGTCGGGATATTAGAATTAAGAGGGACTCAAGGTAGGTCATCATCCAGACTGTGTGCTGTGTGGGCAAAGAAGACAGGAAAAGCCACAGGTACTAAGGGACTCTCCCAAGGCCCCACACCCAGAAGTCATGAAGGCTGTGTAACATCCAAGGCTGTCTTCTCAGGGTCTGGGTTGAGGACTTCAGTTGCATGCGCTCCTGCGTTACTTAGTGGGCATCCTGATTACCTTCAGCCACACAGACCAGGACCCTGAGGCCATAGGAAGCTGGGGAGAGGCCTGTCCTTCCTTAGTGGTCCTGGCTCCCTCTCAGCAGCTGGCTCCAGAGTCCCTCTTTAGCCCTTGTGCTGGGGCTGGAGCTAGAGCCCAGGCTTTTGATAACCCGCATACTGCCTGACTGTGGACTGTTCTGTACTTGTCTTGTCTTTCTTTTATAAAAATGAGACGAATGGAAAGAATGACCTTTTCTCTTTGCTAGGCTTTTAACCAGCTGCTCTAGCCGCTAACATTGCATGACTTATCAGCAAGTAGTTTTTAGGTATCTGCTATATTCCTAAGTAACATTGAGGTTTCCTTCTGAGATTTCTTTTGCTTTAAGGCACTTAATTTGTGGAGGGCCTTAGGTAAAGTTTGGGACTATTTGTATTTAAAATACTAAATCGATTGCTCTGAAATTTGTTTTGGTGATACAGAAACATAGACATTATCATTTATATATGCCAGTTTCAACTTCTGGGCCCCCATCAAGAAAGTGATGTTTTTTAAAATACCATAAGTAGAACTATTAGATGATTTAAAATGAAGGAAAAGTTGTGTAAGTGTAATATATAAGTACTATATTTTACAGAATAATACTTTACCTAAATTTATCTTTTCCCTTTCATTCTGTCTGTAAATCTCTCATTATGTTCACGAGCAATCCAAATAATGACTTAGATTTTGCTGCCAACAAGGACGTTCTTAAATATTAAAATGTATGCCATTGTGTCCTTTAGCTATTGTTTGCTGTCTCTGAAGCTAAAGAGAAATGGAAAAGTGAGTTTGAAAATCCGAAGAAAAATGTAACCCTCGGGAAGGACCTGGAAGAGAAAATCCGTTCTCTGCAGAAGGAGCTGGAGCTGAAGAGTGAGGAGCTCCCTGTGGTCGTCAGGGCCGAGCTGGCGAAGGCGCGCAGTGAGTGGAACCGAGAAAAGCAAGAAGAAATCCAGAGAATTCAAGAACAAAACGAGCAAGATTACCGGCAGTTTTTAGATGATCATCGAAATAAAATTAATGAGGTGCTTGCAGCAGCTAAAGCAGACTTTTTGAAAGAAAAGGCTGAACTACTTTTTCAGAAGGAGACAGAATTACAAGCCTGTCTATACCAGAGCCACAGGGAGTGGACCATGCAGGAAGCTGAGCGGATCCAACTCGAAATCCGGCGGTACGAGGAGGACATCCTCATCGTCCTTGACGTCCTCCTCAGGGACACTGGGAAGGTGGAGGGGAATGGCTCCCGGGACAAGCGGCCTTTGGGAATCCCACCGGCTTGTTCTTCGAAGTGGCTGTCTGCGCAGTATTGTGAGAAACTGAAATCTTGCATACGGAAAGCACTGCGAGATGCACTTTCTTTACGTACAGAAAATGCCAGGGCAGAATGGGAAAAGGTATGTTCCCAAGAGTGGAGAGAGCTATCGAATGCCATCAGGACGCTTGTCAGAATTGTATATGGTGTTTTTCTTCTTTCTTCATTGTACAGTTTAATAGTTGTCAGACTTGGTGTTTTTACCAGTGGTTTAAAAAACGTTTTGTAGCAAATCCGAAGGATTGTGTATTTTCTTGCCAAAAAAACTTTACAGCTTCATATTGCCACAAATAAGGCAGAGCTTTTAACCTCTAGATGTCTTTTTGTTTGTTTGTTTGTTTGTTTGTTTATTCTAAGAAAAAATGGCTATTCTCACAAGAGCCTGAGATTTCAGAAGCTGAGGATAATGCACATTCATATTTTTGTTTTTTGGGCCCAACCTCTTCAAGAAATGTGTGGCATATTAAAGTAGAATTTCTTAAAAGCTTTTGAAGAGTTTGGAAACCTAGTTCTTGCCTCAGTGAACTAATAGTTTATTTAGGCAAAAAATGCCAACCAAGTACAAAAAATGTTGATACAGAAACAAGCAAATGAGAGGTCTGTTTCCCTCACTTCTTGCCTCATTGGGGCAGTGTAAATGTGACTGTAGAATGAATGTGCTGCATCATTCTAGTTGTGTGAAGTCCTTTCTGAGACCAGCTTTTAGCATGTGTGAAAGATCTGATACACCAAAGTCTAGCTACTATGTGATTAAAGACATTAGGTAAGCATGAAAGGTCCAGGGTGATGATGTAGGTCTTGTAACCAGCCAACATTTGGAATGAGAGGTGGAAAAAAATGCCAATATTAATGAGATTTGTCTGAGAGAAGAGTTAAGAGTTAAGGTCTGGCCGAAGAACATCCTCAAGGCCAGAATGAGCATTTGTTATCAGTACCTACTGGAAAGAGTTAGAAACTAGAAAAGAAGTCTGAGTTCCCACACTTGGTGATAAGTGCGTATTACCCTGGGTAAACATATTAAGTTGCTTATCTGAAAAAGAAAATACAAATCCCTGCCAAATTCCTTAGAGTTGGGTACGACACATCTGGAACAGTGTGGGCTTTCTGTATCCTGCAGGTGAAACGGCATAGAATTTTAGGGCAAGAGGAGCCTAAAAGATGAGTTCATCCTAGTGGATACTTTTATACTTGAATTCACAAAGATGTTTCTAAGAGCAGCTGCCTTTGATATAAGTGTTATATCATGTTCCGTGGGTAGTGCTTAATATTTTCTTGAGAGTCTTTGGAGAAAACTGATGGAAAGACAGGAAGAATTATCTATTGTAGGTTTTAGGGCAAGAGTTAGTGGGAAAATTATGTTAATCCTTTCAAGTTTGCTATCCTACAAGGATAGTTTCTGTTTTAAAAGTCAAGCAGTATCGTTCCAATTGTAGTATATGTGCTGCCGAAGCGAGCACAAACGTCAAGCAGTATCGACACCGTTCTCCTACCATTAATATTGACCCCCTGCCACACTAAAAATGTTCTGGACTTTATATCAAATCAACCCTAGGGTCTTTTTTACGGGGCTGTGTAAACAGTATAAGATCATCTGTGTGACTTAACATGGCTTACAAGTCTATGGAGACAGAATCACATAATCTGGCTAAGAATATAGACTTTTACAGCTTTTGCTGGGTGGGTCAGAGTCCATTCCTGAGAAAAAAGATGTCCAAAATGTCTAATCTGGCATTTGTCATAGAAGTAATATTTGACCTTCTGCCATTTCTGAGCTAACTTAGCTCAGAACATGGAGGTAAAGCACTGATTGTGAGTTTTCAGTGTATGTGACATAACAGGAGGAGCAGATTTATAATTTATTAATTCTGTAGTATTTAAATTGTTCATGGAAGTGACTAGAATAAAAACTTTGTATGTAAAAAAAGTCCTCATTAAAAGTGACTGAAATGATTGAAATTTTTCTAAAATGGAGAAAATACAATGAATGAAAAATAGCAATTTCTAAGAAACTGAACACCTTATCAAAATATTTTAGCACAACAGTTCACCATGGATAAAAGAACAAAGAAATATCAACTGACGGAACTTTGGGGCAGGCTTAAAGGTGCATATTCTGTCTCCCCTAACTATGAAAATCAAGTTAAAACTAAGGACAAAACATTTTTCCTTTCCCACTTTTTTTTTTTGTCATCTTGGCTTTTCTGTTCCCAATTTGAGTGGCAACCAGAAATATTAACTGCCTTTGGCTTGGGCTTTCATCACTTCATCACTTTTTTGTTTTGTTTTTTTTTTTGTATCGGGGATCGAACTCGGGTCCTTGTGCTTGTGAAGCAGGCGGGGGCGCTGCTGAGCCACATCCCTGGCCCCAATGACTCCTTTTGGCCTCGATAGCACAGTCTTTTGACTGAGCAGTTGGCCTTTCTTCCGGGGTTCTGACCACCATTTCCGCGGACCGTCACAGGGGTTTCCTGTCCCTCTGTGAGCGGCTTTCTCAGAGTCAGAACCGGGGGTTTTGGAACCAAGCACACCATGTGTTTGCTTTGTCAGTATCACGTACCCTGTTCCTTTGCGATTTAGTAGTTATCCGGAATTGGAATATTGCCTTAAAAATCCGTGAGTTTATTAAGTTTTATTGCCCATCACACACAAAGCACTGTGCACACACTGGAGAAGAAATGGTCTGGTGTGACCTGTCCCGTTTATCTTTAACTTGGAACTCAGCTGGCCTTTCCTCCCCAGAGACATGTATGTGCAATACTTAGAAGCATGTATCACATACCTTAAAAATTACTTTGTGATCTTCAAGTTGTAGGAGGCAAAAAAAAAAAAAAAAAAAAAAC